GGCTCTGAAGTCTTCATTTCAGGTTTAAAAAGATCACGGAAATGTCAAACAGTGGAAGAGAATGAATAGTTGAGGTGTGGAGGACAGCCACTTTAAGCCCGTTCTTCCCTCACCCTGAGATCCTAAGCTGCTTCAACAAATCCAGAAGACAGAGAGTAAAATCTCTTCTTTTGGGATACCACTGGAGGTTGGGATCTGGTTAGAGAGAGAGCTTTCTCTTTGAGCAACATCAATGATGATTTCAACATGTGTTTTTTTGAATAGATTACTGCCAAACCCCCAAGTTGTGTTTTACCAAATTACTTATAGGTGTGGAGGGCAAATTGAAGAAGATAATCTCTAGTTACACATCATCAGTCAATACCTATCTTTACAGCTGCTGTGAAGTTCTCTTCCTTTTGTGACTCTTTATCTGTCTTCCCTGTCCCCTCATTTTCACCAGGGCTGGTGCTCTTTCCTGGCTCCTTTCATGGAGAGTGGACCCCAACAACATGATGCCCAGGAAACCAGCACTTGGTGAACGTGTGATTCTAACCATCACCAACACAGTAACTGTTTCTAAGTGAGTCCACAGCTTAATGCAGAAGAGGGAGTAGCAATGGGTGGACATTACAAAGAGGCACATCTCCACTTAACCAAAAGAAACACTTCCCAAGGTTATGATATGTGCAACCACGACATAATCTTATTATGAAATGGAGCATAGAAAACAATTTTTGTTCATCTAATAATTTTTACATCATGTTTTAGCACCTATGTCCTATTATTTATGTACTGAAGGTACAGTAGTGAAAAAAGAGGGAAAAAATCCTGCTCTTATCTTCCTTGGGGAAGAAAAGGAAGTAAAATATGTCTGTGTTCCTCAAAGAAAACCGGACGTTTGGGCTAAATGTGAGGGAGGGAGCCAGGAGGGTTGGGGGAGGCAGAGTAAACAGCAAGTGCAAAGGCCCTGCAGAGGGAATGTCCAAGGTATCTCTGAGGGACAGGAAAGCCTGAGTAATGGGGGTAAGAGGGTAGGATCACTAAGTGGCAAAGACTGAGGCAGATTTGCATGTCCTCAAAGACTATAGACAATGAATTGGCTTTTCCTAAGTGAGATCATCTGACACCATTGGAGAGTGTTGGGCTGAGAAATGATGCCATCCTGTTTACCTGTAACAGGATCACACCAGTGGCTCTGTTGACATTAGACTAGGTAGAACCAGAAAACCCATGCTGGCTCTCTGGCAGGGGCATCAGGGAAAGAGAAGGATGGCCTGGACCAAGATGATAGCAAGAATAGGGGTGAGTACTGGTAAAAGTCTGGACATATTTTGAATGTATAGTTGGCAAGATTTTTTTTTCTGCCTGGGCACTGTTCCTGAGCTTCATTTTGCTCAAGGCTAGCACTCTACCACTTGAGCCACTGCATCACTTCTGGCTTTTTAAAGTAGTTTATTGGAGAGAAGAGTCTCATGGACTTTCCTGCCTGGGTTGGCTTTGAACTGTGATCCTCAGATTTCTGCCTCCTGAGTAGGATTACAGGTATGAGCCACTGGTGCCTGGGAAGATTTTAATTTTTTTATAGTTAGATGATAGTTGTAGTAGGAAGAGAAGAAACTGATTAGTTAGTCTGAGAAGTCGGAGAAATAAAGTTGACATGAAGTAAGAGGAAGAGGTTTTGTGAGAAGTATGAGAAGCTCAGTTTTGTCAATGGCCTTTTGTGACTGGGCTGGCTTCAAATAGTGAGCCTAGGTCTCAGCCTCATGTGCAGCTAAGATTATAGGCATGAGCCACTGATGCTCAGCTATCTGCAGTTTTTGATGCCCATTCTGAAGTTCTTTGAAGACCATCGGACCTTGTTTAACCCAAATCCCAACAGAAAACAGGCAATATTCTATGCCCTTACTAGTTGTAACTCAAAGCACATGAAGATGCTTTTATTTCTTGGGTTTCCTGATCTTATTTCACTGTTTTTTTAAAATAAAATTTGATAGCTAAAAAAGAACAGGTATTTAAAAGCTATTCTCAAATGAATTAAACTTTTGGTTACATAACCTTATTTAAAAGCTACCAAATGAAAACAAGACTAACCTCTTACACTGGGTTGACTGGTCAGGCTGAGAACAACAGAAGCAGCATCTCTTAAGAAATAATTACATAATGCATAAAACCGAGAGCTTGAAAGTTTGAGTTCAAATCCATTTCTTCTTAGTTGTGAAGATTTATACAAAATATTGCACTTCTTTGCCCCTTTAAAACTAGGGTGATGTTAACTATATTGAGGTGTTGTTTCAAATAGCAAGTAAAAATTTCCTTAGGAAAAGTGCTAGTAATAGGTAAAGTCTATATATACACTGTTGACTCTAACTGACTTCCACCCATTTGCTTTTATTTTGGATTCTTCCAACCAATAGAGGAGGTGTCATTTTACAAAGGTTGAAGCTGAATTTCGAAGATGTTCATGGCCTAGTCCAAATCACAGAGTCAATGCCTGTTGGTTGTGAAAGGGGAAATGTGCTTTATCTCTGAATTGGGACTCCAGCTACCATCTAGGTATTGAAATGGACTCTACGTATTATCAGAACCTGCTTAGGTGAGAAGGCCCATTTTTCTAGGGGCTAGAGTTTCTAAACTGGATTCATTGATGTTATGAATGGCCTGGAATGACCCTGGAAGCATGGGTCAGTGGGGATGGGTAGGCTAGTATAGATCACTGGCAGAAAACAGCCAAGATATCTTATAACTTCTTCTCTAAGACATTTGTATTTCTTGATTCCTAGTCATCCTTAAAATATTTAGTGTGTTCACTGCTCTGAGGGCAGAAGCTTTTACCTTCCGCAGATCTTCTTTTTAAAGGATACCTCTGAAGGTGTCCTTGAATCAGAATATTTTAGCTAGGAAGAACTTCAGATGCCATTTAGACAAGCCCTGCATTTTATAAACAGGAAGTTTAAATCAGGAATGGTTAAGATGTTGGTCTCAGCTGGTGGCAAGGACAGTAATAGCATAGGGCAGCCTGGCTCTGAGTGCATGCTTTCTTTGTACTGCGCAACACTGTTACTCACAATGTGGCCAGGGTCTGATGTGATTCCTTGAAAGTGAAATTCCAAAGAATTTGTCAATTAGTTAAATGAAATAAATTCATTCTAACTTCCCCTATTATAGCATTCAGACATGCTTAAACCACTTAATAAATAAACGGAGCTTGAGTCACCTCTTGACGGATAATCATGTTTTCTCATTTGCAGTTTAAGTGCTTCAAGACAAAGTGACTTTAAAACTGCTCATGAGAAGACCCAATTATCTGATAAGCAATTCTAAAGACCACACACAAATGTAGAAACAGACTTCTTTATAAATGATGTCTGACAAGGAAAGAGATATTTGTGGCATAGGAATCTGGAAAATGTAATTATTTATCCTTTCACAATTAATGAAAGAAATTGAAATTGAAGCTTTCATTTCAAATCCTTTTTATCTGGATGAAACTTTAATTTTACATAATTAAATTGACTTCACAGTTCAATGTGTTAAAATATGCAATTAAGCAGCATATCGAGGTTAAATGCCTACTGTTGTTGGCTCATTTAGAAGTCATGCTGAACTGCTAAACAAGAATGAATACTTGCCAGGCGCTTGTGACTCATGCTTGTAGTCTTAGCTACTCAGGAGGCTGAGAATGGAGGACTGAGGTTCAAAGCCTACCCAGGCAGGAACATTTGTGAGACTCATTGCCAATTAACCAGCAAAAGCTGGAAGTGGAGCTGTGGCACAAGTGTGAGAACCAACCTTGAGTGAAAAAGCTAAGGGATGGCAAGCCCTGAGTTCAAGACCTAATACTGGCACCAAAAAAAAAAAGGAATCCTGGGCATCTTGCCCATTATTTTCAGGTTAGGGAGGCCCACATATTGCAAGGTGGACAGTTTTTGCCAGTTCTTCTGAGCAGCCTATTCTGTACAAAGTCAGTTGGATTAAAATAGTTTTTATTTCTATGAAGAAATACTCTAGCATTTTGATAGAGCTCCATAGATAATTTTCTTCACCTCTATTAGAAGTTCTTTTTAAAGATAACATTTGCATCTTCTAAATTATTTTCTCTTTGTCGAAAATATCTTAAAAGTCTCAATTTTTCCCTTTCACAACATATGCTAAGGAGACTTCTTTGAAAAGGAGAGGCATAAGAAACACTTTAATGGGGGCTGAGGTGAAAGGTCACTGCAGGTGCATCTTAAGAGGTGGCAGCTTGGAGAGGAAGGGACTTTCCCTTATGCACCACTCCCCCCGCCACTCCCCACCCCATCTCCTTGAATAGCACCACTGTGAAGATCAACTTCTAGCTCTGTAATATCTTCTATTCCCTTTCATCTTGAGACTCTATGAGTGAAGCATACTTCAACAAGTAGCACTGAGCTCTCTCCTTCTCCCTGATATGTTATAGCATTCTTGTTGCAGAGAGTCTGTCTTATCTCTGAGTGGTTGTCAAGAAGGATTTGTAGATCGCAGCAATGTTCTTGCTGTAAAGATACATAGAAACCCCCAATCTCTCAGTGGCTCTTCCACAGGTATATCACTGAGCTGATGACTGTAGCCAAAGAATACGTGACCATGACATGAGGCTGATTACCAGACAGTATGCCAAATAGGACAGGAATAGATGACTGTTTTAGTCCTTCAAGCCCAGGCTTGAGATCGGACATTGCACCAGAAGCATCATAAGGTTAGTAGGTTCTTCTAAAATTCTGAGCTAGGACTGGATTTACCTCTGTTTTGTTGCATTATTCTGGAACCCAAATAAGGACATCTTGGTTGTTTTAGCAGAAAAAAATAATAGTGAAAGAGTTCAGCTATTAATACCTCCACGCAAACTGTAAAAGCATCTATTTACATGGAATCAATTGACAATATTCAGAATGCACTAGCACTGGAAAGAGGAGACCGCTATGGTGTGAGCACCTCTGTGTGTGTGTGTGTGTGTGTGATGAAGGCATCCAGTAAAAGTTCCCAAGCAATCTTCTTACCTTTGTTTTCTGCCTTCAGTTCCTCTGCCATCAAGCTGTCTTGTCGATTACCAAGCACGAATGCTAGAAATGAGAGGATCAGGGCATCCAAAATTCCAATAATAGCCAGGATATATGCCCAACGGACTGAACAAGCTCCGAGGGTGTACTTGTCTGTCTTTTCTCCACACATCCGTTTCACTTCATCTGAATCCCAGCCATCGGGGAAAATCATACAGCCAAGCACAAGGCAGGCAGCTTAGAGAGAGGAAGAGAGGAAAACAAGAGGAAAAAAGAAATTAACAGATTTTATTGCAACAAGCACGTCTATTATTCATCAAATAATCATTTCAAATTATTGATTTGCAGTACAGCAAATCTCACCATGGGTCTACTGTGTGTGTGGGGGGAGGGGGGGTGCACGAGCACGTGCACGCGCATATGGGCATGTTTTCCCGAGTAATTTACAGGCAGTCCTGTCTCTACAGTGGAAAGACTCCTGGGAAGGCACTGTAAAATAAGTCCAGGCATTCTGAGAGACAGGTTAAAGTAAATTGATCTATGAGAAAATACTAAGAAATTCAATGTGTGTGTGCATTTGTGGGAAGGATTTCATTGCAACTAGGCCTATGTGGAATTATAACACTGCAGAATGACAATTCAAGGCTGTCTTTGAAGAGCTATGACAGCAGTCAGATAAGGGATTAGGGTAACATGGAAAACAGCAGAGTGAATATTGACTTTCAATCATTGTGAAAAATAATTTTACATTGTGATCCCTGCCCCCTACACAAAGAAGAGTTTCTTGAAACTGTCCTAACACATGCAATGCATGGTGATATTTTACGTTCTACTCTCCAATCTGTTTCATTTTGGAAAAAAAGGCTAAAAAACAACCAAGACACATGACAGCACAAAGCTTTTATGGAAGTGAAGGAATTAAGATGATTTATATTCTATTTCTCACATATCACTGTGGTACTCATATGAATATTTTTATTTTTTAAATTTTGAAACAGGATCTTGCTATGTAGCCCACTGACCTTGAACTCTTGGTCTTCCTGCCTCAGCCTTCTAAGAGCTTGGATTACACATGTCTATCATCACATTCTGCCTCATATAAACACTTTTGGTAGGGATATATTACTCTGAAAATTACAGAAGATAATTGTTATTGTTGATACTTTTTTATATTTAATTGGATTATTTAGGGCAAACGATTATATTTTTAGGATGTGTATACCCTTCTGAACAGGTGTGTTTATTAATTTACTAATTTATTCATTCAATGATTGTATATAGTGTATCTTCAGTAGAATGCCCGGTAGTGTTCTTAGTGTGATGGTACAGTGCTCAAGAAAAGAGATATTGACCCATTTGTTAGGAAATGGAAAGACTTGGAAAAAATTATATTAAGTGAAGTAAGCCAGGCCCAAAGAAACATAGGTCCCATGGTTTCCCTTATTTGCAATAACTAGTATATGTCTAGGACATATGTCTAGGTCAAAAGCTATGCACATATGACCATATAAGATGATGTTAAGGAAAATGAACCCCAAGATAGGGACACAAGTGGTTTTTTTCTTTCTTGCTATTGTTTTTAACATACTTATAATGTACTATGTTTTTTTTTTTTTTGTTATGTGGTGCTGAGGAATCGAACCCAGGGCCTCAGGCATGCAAGGCAAGCGCTCTACCACTGAGCCACCTCCCCAGCCCCCTGTACTATGTTTTTTTTGTTGTTGTTTCTTTGGTATGTTCTGCCCCCACAGTATAACCCGTTTTCACTGTATTTGACGCCAGTGCCCTGCATCTTGTATATACACTTTTCTAATTTGGGGAGGGGAAGGGAAAAACCAAAATGCTTAAATAGGGATACAGGTTGACCCATTGTAACAATGAGATGTACCAGACACTATGTTGAAAACGAACTTTACAACTTGTGGAGGGGAGGGAAGGAGGAGTTGGAAAGGTGGGAGGGAAGGGATGGTCAGGGAAAAACAAAAGGAGGAGGTAACAATGCTCGACAGGAAAAGTACTCATTACCTTACTCATGTAACTGTAACCTCTCTGTACACTATTTTTACAATAAAAATGAATTAAAAAAGAAAAGAGATATAGTTAATGTTATCAAAGACCTTATATTTTTAATTGGCGAAAAAGCCAAAAACTGAGTAAACATGCAAATAAAATAATTTAAAGTTGTAGTAAGTACTAAGCAGACAAATAGATATTTAAATAGAAATAAAAGACTGGGGTCTTCTTTAGAAAAAAGTGGCCACATAAGGTTTCTCTGGGATGATAATTAAGCTAAAACTAAAAATAAGATAAGGAATTAGATATGTGAAACTTGTGGAAAGGATATTCTTGGAAACAGCCTATGCAAAGGTCTTAAGGTTGGAAAATGGCTTGCTATGTTTGAGAAGCTATAAGAAAATCAGTTACTAAGGCTATGAGGTAGGTTAAAAAAAAGGTGCCTCAAAAAAAAGGTTCTGTGACTGTCAGGGCCAAACAATTCTTATTACCATATCTCAACTTATTGATAAGATAGAAATGGACATCTATTTTCCTTTTTTGAAATAGGCATATGGATCTACAGGGCAGGTCTGGAGGAGGAAAAGGCTAAGAGAGGTTACAAATAGAAAAGACTGTGAGGGATAACTCTGTTTTAGTGTTACATGTTGATTTACAAATTGGCAATTAAAAACTGTGGATCAGAGCTGGGCACTAGTGGCTCACACCTGTAATTCTAGCGAATCAGGAGGCTGAAATGCAAGAATCACAGTTCAAAGCCAGCCTAAGCAGGAAATTCCATGAGACTCTTCTCTCCAATTAACCATCAGAAAACTGGAAATGGAGCTGTGGCTCAATGGTAGCGCATTAGCCTTGAGCAAGAGAGCTCAGGGACAGTATCTAAGCCATGAGTTCAAGCCCCATGACCACCACACCACCACCAATACCCCATCCTTATAGCCATATGTCTCTGCTGTGGTGTAACATCTCTACAAATACAGTTATCATTAACACTTCTCTACTTTAAGACTTGTCTCTCAAAGAAGCCCTTGACTTCTAATGAGATTAAATATTACTATGATTATGCAAAAGCTGTTGAATTGACAAATAACCATGTACTGTAGATATTTAAAAGTTTCACAAGTATTTAAAAATCCCTGTGTATAAAGCTTAAAGCTCTACTTGGTGTGGGTCAAGCTACATCTGACTCCAAGTTTTTGGAGCTCCCTGTTTTCTGTCTCAAATATTTGCTAGGATTGTCCCTAAATTTTCCACTCTTCACTATTTCCTACTACTCAAACAAAGTGCAACACCTTCTGTAGAGCAAACTACCTCAGATTATCCTGGACATAGAACATTGTCCTCTCAACTTTCCTACATGTTGGCTTAGCCCAGCTTTACATGCCTGGTGCTTTATATGTTGTTAAAGATTCACAAGTATCTCAGTGAACAGACCCTAAGCTTTCTGGGCCATTGTCTTATCTAAAACAGTGTCTTTCACAAAGCAGGTACTAAAATACATTTAAACAAGCAAGTGCATGAATGAATAAATTGTTGTGATACTGCCACAAGGCTATGAATGGTTCATAGAAGGTCAATACCAGTTTCCCAACAGCACAGATCTAAGTTAAAGAAGGATTCAAATTTAGGTGACACCTAACAGAGACAATCATACTGCTCCTAGATAACAGATGACAAGTACTTGGGGGGATAAATCATCAACAAAGTGAAGTTAGTGATTTGACAACCTTCCCACAGTCTTGTCCTTTCTGTATCTCTCAGCACGCAGTACTCAATGTACCCTCCATGGTATTGTCTGGTGGAAATGATCTGTGTATTTTTTTTTTTTAAAGATGTAGTTTCCATCAACAATGTTTATTTTATTTAGGACAATGCCGAAGACCTTGGAATACAAATGGTATATAGAAAAACACTTCTTAATTACTTGGAATGTTTCTAAAATAGTCTAACTGCTTTTCTTCCCCCCTTGCATTAAATAGTCTTTATCTGCAAGACAATCTCTTTCTTGTAGAGAGAAAGGAAAAGAATGCTTTTCCTTTTACAAATGGGAACTTGAGAGATAACTTACATTTCAGTGTAGCTGAACTTAATAGCAATTACCAAGTGACACAAGCCCAGGCAGACTCCTGGCCATTGGAGGACAGTTCCCTGGCTGGGAGCCTGTGGGGCAGTGGAATCAACAAAGACATCTTTGCTCAAGGCCTTTCTGTTTTGAGGGTAGACTGTTTCCATTTCTGGAAACCCTGAGTTATACCAGGGGATGAAAAGAGCTGAACCAGAACTAACACCCTGAACCCGAAACCACTGGGAAGCAGGCATAGCAACACATTGTTCTGTTTTCAAAGTATAAGACTTCCTAAATAAAGTTTATAGTATCAAGATTGCGTGAAAATAGACAAAACAATAGGCAACTTATGTTATGGAATGTGTTTTTGCTGAAAGCTGTGAAAACAGAATAAGTGGGAAAAATGTGTGTGTGTGTGTGTGTGTGTGTGTGTGTGTGTGTGTGTGTGTGAGCATGCGTGTGCCTGGTATTAGGGCTTGAACTCAAGGTCTGAGCATTGTCCCTTAGCTGTTTTGCTCAAGGCTGATGCTCTACCATGTGATCCATACCTCTACTTCTGTTTTGTTTGTACCTAATTGGAGATAAGAGTCTCATGGACTTTCTTGCCCCAAGGCTTCAAAACTCAATCCTCAGATAGATCTCAGCCTTCTGAGTAGCTAGGATTATAGGTGTGAGCCATGGATGCCTGATTTTGAAACACAATTTTTATTTTCAACAATGTGAGGGAGTTAGGTGTTCAGAGAAATCCTAAAGCCTGACTTAGGTCAGGGTCCTGGGGTCTTGGAGAAAAGTAGTTAGACCCACACAGCCAAGACGCTGCAGGCCTTTCTCAGGCTACAGGACGATGTATTATAACTGGTTCTGCTCATTGTCAACCTTTTCTTAGCTTGAAGGATCTGATCCCTTTCCAATTTATCTATTTTTATCCCTTTTGACTTGTCTCTTGTGTAGCAGGATGAAAAAGAAAACCTCACAAATGCATTTAAAAGCTTTAATAGATGTCTATTGCATAACAAAAGAGTGGTTGTTTTCTCCTAGTAACATATTATCAAAGCATACAGTGTTTCCCCTTAATGACTCCCCTCCCCCAACGTGAGAATATTTTATTGAAGCCATTAAAATAGTGTAGTCTCTGCTACTGTCTTTGGGATGGATGACT